CCAAGCTGCCACACTTCTAAGCCTATTTCACGTTCTCGGCCTCGTCTCTGCGCACTAGTCAAATAGAAAATTCCAAGATCATCACGCAAGTTACTAAAGGAAAAAAATATATATATATCTGCCGCGGCACATTAGAAACCGTTCCGACGGTAAAAGAAAAAAAAAATACCTTCCACGGAGCACTCGAAACGCGGGAACCGTTTCGACGGTGCTACGCCACAGAACACCTACTGGCTACGCACTTTTCAAGTTGTCGCGCCGGCTGCTATGGGGTTAAGTCGGTGTTCTGTGGTTAAGTCACAGAACACCTGTTAAGTTGAGGCGGCCTCTCGTGACACTTTTGTAACTAGACAAACACGTGACCCTCCACAGTTGGAGTCACGGAGGAAGGAAAGGTCTTTCCTTCCTCCGTGGTTGGAGTCAAGCGCAGCCGTAGAGAGAACAGGTATGAGCAGGTCGCCAATCTATAGAGGAGGTCGTGGGTGATGATAGTGACACTTATCACTGACTGTTCTCATTGGCGCAGTGCATCTAATGGTAGTGTATATGTTCTGTGGTGCATCAAAATAGCAGAAAAAGAACACAGACCCCTGTGGCTAGCATTTTTGGATATCAAGGGAGCGTACGATAGCGTGGTTCAAGAGGAATTGTGGGGAATAGTGGACACACTAGGCGTGGAAGATGTAGTCACTAATCTTTTAAAGGATATCTATAAAGGTACCAAGGTAATTATAAAGTGGCAAAAACAGGTATCCAAGCCCACAGTTGTAAAACGGGGGCTTAGAGGCAGGGTTGTCCTCTGTCACCCTCGTTATTCATGATGTACCTACAAGGTTTAGGGGCCGAAGTAGAGGGAAGTGGACTTGGCTTCAACCTCTCTTTCGTAAAACAAGGAAAACTCGTTGAACAGGCACGCATTGATGTACATAGATGGTATAGTGCTAATGGCCGACAAGGAAGAGTTGCAAAGATTGATGGACATCTGCAGTAATGAGGGAGATAGGTTAGATTTCAGATTCAGTAAGGAAAAATCGGCAGTCATGATTTTTAATGATAATGAAGGTAGTGAGCTTAGAATACAGGAGGTCACGCTAGAGATAACTGATAAATACAAATATATGGGCGTATGGATAAGTAATGAGGCCGAGTACCTAAGGCAACACGAAATATACGTGACGAATAACGGTAACAGGAATGCAGCGGTGATGAGAAACAGGGCACTGTGGAATTACAATAGGTATGAGGTTGTGAGAGGAATATGGAAAGGGGTCATGGTTCCTGGGCTGACGTTCGGCAATGCGGTCTTGTGCATGAGGTCAGAAGTTGAAGCAAGATTAGAAATTAAGCAACGTGAAATAGGTAGGCTTGCTTTAAGAGCTCGCGGGAATACACCAAATCAGGGAGTATAAGGTGACATGGGATGGACATCATTTGAGGGCAGGGAACCTAGCAGCAAGATAAAACTTGAGAAGCGATTGAGAGAAATGGGGGAGGAGCGTTGGGCTAGGAAGGTTTTCAGCTACTTGTACATGAAGAATGTCGATACAAAATGGAGGAAGCGAACCAGAAAATTGACGGGTAAATACTTAGAAAACAGCAGGGGGCCAAACCAAAAAGAACTATCAGGTAATAAGAAGAAGGTGAAGGAAACAGAGACTGACATGTGGAGAATTGGCATGATTAAGAAGTCCGTACTTTATAAAGATCTATCGAACTTTTAAGCAGGAAATTGCCAAGAAAAGGATCTATGATAATACTCGGGGTAGTTCTCTACTGTTTGAGGCCAGGGCAGGAGTATTGCGAACCAAGCCATATCGGGCCAAATACGAAGGGGTAGACACGGTATGCAGTGCATGCGGAGAGGAGGAGGAAACTGCCGAACACTTGATAATGTTCTGTAAAGGGCTTCACCTCCAGGATGATGGCGCAGAGTTTTTCAAAGCACTGGGGTTTAGAGACAGGGAGGGCAAAATAGACTTTAAGCGGGTAGAATTAACTAGAAGGAGGTTATCTGATTGGTGGCTAAAGTCAAGGCACGAGTGAAAATTAAACCATTCGCTATTAAAAAATAAAAAAAAAGATAAATCTAGTTGGTGGTTCACTAAGTATTACGGCTAGGTTGCGTTAGCCGCCGCCCGATCTAGAGGGTAAACCCACATCTATCCATATATCTATCCAACCACGGAGGAAAAAAAAAAAAGGAAACCTTTTCTTCTTCCGTGCATCCTACCCCCTCCGTGATCCTACCCCGTCACGAAGGAAGTGTACCCCGTGCAAGGAGGTTATACTAAAACTTCTGGAGTGGCGGAAGGGCTCCGTGGCTGAAGCTTACCGCCGCCACATTGCTCAGGGCAGAAAGCGGATGGGCGCATTGTAGCGTACGTGGCTTTCGCGTTGTTTTAGTGCCAGTAATGTTCCGTGTGATGCCTCTAATTGAACAAGGTGGTTTTCAACACGTCTGTTATGACTTTAAAAAACGACGATGGTGGGCTCTTGAGTAGCATTCGGCAGCGCGAATCATGTGAAGCGGACACAGGGCACAACTTTTGATGTGCACGTAGGCACGCTTCGCTCACTCGCTTTTCCTCGCATATTTTCATGACTACGACTGCATTCCCGACTACATGTACTTCCTTTTGGCGTGCGGATGCACAGAGATATTTTGAATAATTTTTGTACGTTTCAGGGCTCCGAAGACGTCGTAATGCGCGGCAAATGAGAGTACGCTATGAGGGAAGAAGGTTAAGCGTTAAAAAGAATAATAATGACGACTTTTGTTTAGTACACATGTTAAAGCATGCTGCTTCGATGGGACAAGGTAAATAACGAGACGACGGGCTTATAAAATTACTACCGTGTTTGCATCGTTTTAAGGCGCACTTACAAAAGCCAGTACGCGAGTATGCCTAACAAAAGTGTGCGCTTCGCTTTCGAAAGGTAGCTAATGTAGCACCGGCTCTGCATTTCTGGGATTCGGAGCTTCTTATATTTGCATAAGCACTACGCTCCCAGTCTCAAAATTTCTGATATGTTGCGATATGCTTCTCTTTATGCAGGAGAAAAAGGAAACGAGCTCCTTTGAAAATTCAGGGAAGTACACTTTCGCCTAAAGCTCCTCTAATTGATGGAGCTGTCAAAATCCCGCCACCCCAGAACTTCACCCACAAAAGAATGGTACAGGCAAAAAACAAAAAAATAAAACAAAAACTAAAAAATCACAAACAAGGTGCAAATAACAGCTGAAAAAGAAGGGTACGACATCGTACGCAGCAGCATCAATGGGACCTTTTAAAATGTTTTGATGCTTCTGAGAATTTCATTGACCAGATAATGGAGCAGAACGTATCATCAGAGGAACGATTGCAAGTTTTCCAAGCATCGTTTTCCCTGTATATCCAGGAGCTTCACAAACGAGTACGTGAAAAGGTAAAAGACCCCCCCCCCCCCCCCCTATTAAAAAGAGTTTGCACTCACGCTGCACTGTTGTTCGCCAAGGGCTTATGGTTGCGTGCGAGTGAAACTTATACTTTCTTTGCATCTGCTAACTGGTCACTTCTGCTGTGAGGCAACTGTGTAAACATATATTGTGCATTGATATCCTTAAGTACTAATTTTTTTTTTACAGCAACAGTTGTTATGAAGTCAGAACACAGGTCCCTTGCGACGCCGTAGAAAAGCACCAAGCATAACTTCATAATAACTGTCGCTGTAAAAAAAATAGTACTTAAGGATATCAATGCGCAATATATGTTTACACAGTTGCCTCACAGCAGAAGTGACCAGTTAGCAGATGCAAGGAAAGTATAAGTTTCACTCGCACGCAACCATAAGCCCTTGGCGAACAACAGTGCAGCGTGAGTGCAAACTCTTTTTAATAGGTGGGAGGGGTGTCTTTCACCTTTCCATGTACTCGTTTGTGAAGTTCCTGGATATACAGGGAAAACGATGCTTGGAAAACTTGCAATCGTTTGCCGCCGCCCCTAACCAGTATGGAGGGAAAAAAAACTCGGTAAATAAAAAACACCAATAACGCAATGGGATTCCAACCCAGGTCCGCTGCGTGCCTGTCCAGTATTCTACCACTGAGACACGACAGTGCTTGCAGCTTGTTTCTAAACTGGCCATAGGCAGACTTGATGTCTGGAAAAGAATAAGAAAGCGTTTTATAACGTCCAAGAAACAGCCAGGTGTCACACAATACGAATTGCTCAACGACTGGGTCGTCTAATGCTCCAACCCATTGGAAAACTTGTTCTTTACCACCCTTAAACTGTGTCGCATACCCACTTCACGCATATTTCTTCATCGTCATCAGCCACTGCATAAAAAAAAAAAAAACTGCACAAACTTTCCAACAAGTGTGTAGTGGATACCACCTACCACGTACGCTTCTCCAAAGAATTACGAAAGATAGCATAGTGAATGCTGGCCTACTACACAAAATGTATTATTATTTATGGCACTGTGGGTACACAGCAGTGTGCTTCTAGCATCCCAAAGAGTATTTAGAAAATGCTCTGAAAGACCGCTCTTCTAGCTTCAGGTGCGACTTTGCTGCGCTTTCCGTGTATGCCTGGTTTTTTTTTTTTTAACACGCCTAAAACGCTAAGTGTCAAAGAAAAATTAAAGCATATGTGCATTAGAATCACTCCCACGTTCCCTCACTGCCTAAGAATAACAAACTGGTGCTTTAGTAGCTATAACGAAACGCACGGCTGCCAGTGACCACAGCATTACGGCGCTACAAACAGGCGCCACCACCTTCTGCCCTGAGCAATATGGCCGTTGCGGCTTCACTTCGATACATTGGTAGGTATGTGGTACCGCCACTCCAGAATTTAGTATAACCTCCTTTACCCCGTGAACCAGCCTGTCTCTAATAGAGTGCTCGATGCACTCGTTTGTCTCGACAGGGGCGCGCATCGAAGCACTCTATCACGGAAGAAATTTTTTTTCTTCCTCCATGCACTCTAGCCTGTAAATCCTGTAAGCAAGTGAAAACTGCAAATATGGCTGCGAAGTAAGCGGCCCTAGCGCCACGGAAAGGTTCTCACTCTGAAGTGCCATGAAACTCGAACTCGTGGAAGAATCCAGCGTAATGATAGTGATTTGTGGTTGTATCGGTTGTTTCACGTTGTGGCCGTAGGTGTCTCGTGAGGTAAGCCGAGATGGGTAGTAGAAAGTTGCTGCTGTATTCAAATATTAGCAAAGTTTTAGGATAGTGGAATTAAACAAATAAAAAATGCTGCTCCGCCGTAAAATTCCATCGGAGAGCGATGCAAGCGCGCAGGCTAGTGCTAATGGTGACGCAGCCCAAGAGAAGTCTGAGAGCGAACTAGAAGATTGTCAACGTCTCTGTGCTTCAGGTTCAGGGGTGTCATCAAAGCCCAAAATGAAGACAAACTTTTTTAAATCGCTGCGCGAACACTGGCGGAAGCGAAAAACGAAACTTGCCGTGCAGAATGGTGTCGATGTATCTTCGGGGCCTCCAGAGCCAGGCAGTCGAAAACGAGATGTGACCGTCTACTGCCCGGGGTCGTCGTCGTTAGCTGCGTCCAACTCGCACGGAGATTCGCCTAATGACGCCAACGACAATTACGTGCGTGCCGGTGTTGGTTCGAATGGCGAACGTGTGTGCAGTGATGCTGTCGGCGAAACATCGCATCATGATCTGCCCTCATCTTCATCGTTCACGGTCCCTTCTGTGCATGTCTATCAACCCGAGTTTCGTCAATCGTGGAAGGACCCCAGGTTCCTTCTAGGCAGCCCCTGCTCGACGCCACCCCGTCAGGGTTTGTCTCGGTGTTTCCGGGACCCGATGGCCGAGAAGACTTAAGGATCAGTAGTCTCAGTGAAGAATTGTTCAAGTTATCTAAGCACGGTTGGTACTGGGGGCCCATCACGCGAGGCGAAGCCGAAGAGAAGCTCGCTGACCAGCCTGATGGTGCTTTCCTTGTACGAGACAGCTCTGACGACAGATACCTGCTGAGTCTTACGTTCAAATCATACGGCAAGACGTTGCATACGAGGATTGAGCACTGTAATGGTCTGTTCAGCTTTTATGCTCAATCTGGACCTGAGGGACGTGCCTGCATTGTTGATCTTATTCAAGAGTCCATGAACTATTCTCAGTCAGGCGTGTTCTGCTACTCACGGGGTCGGAGCCCTGGTGTTCCCTCTTTCCCAGTGCGTCTCATTAAGCCTGTTTCTCGACTTACTCATGTGCGGTCCTTGCAATACCTTTGTCGCTTTGTGATCCGGCAGTATACACGCTTTGACCACATTCAAAGACTTCCACTACCGTCCCGTATTAAGGGATACCTTGAAGAGGGTCACTATTGAAAGCTACAAGTTTAATCTACATCTCCAGAAGCCCCAGCATCACGGCATGTCTACCACCAACACCGTTATTCTGTAAAAGAGGCTTGTACATTGCTCGAACCTGTTTTGGTGTACACCCTGTCATGGCATGGTGATTTAGCCACATTGTAAAGGCGTGCAGATTGTGCTCATAAACAGTTATTACGTATCAACATGCGTCCACTTGCATCACACTGCCTAAAGTGGTGTCTGTTACTCTAGAGATTTTGTTTACGAAATATGAGGGAAGTGCCCAAATAGTAAAGCTTTATATTGTGCTCAATGTAGTTTCTTGAGCCACAAGGTTGAGTAGAGCTAGAATTGACATATCAGCAAGATTCATTAGAGGCTGCATATGCCCGTTTCGTGTGTTGCCTTGTATATACATATTTTTGTTAGTTCAAATAGCACTGATACTGTGCTCAAAGGATGTGTTACTTGAATGGTCATGCTTCTGAGTGCATAAATTTATATACATAGCATGTTACTGCAGAAGTTATTGCCCAGATATTGCAGGCTCTCGGTTATGCAAGCATAACATTGTTATGTTAGCATTATTGATACAATTGAAGTTTCTGTAAATACTTATGTTCTCACTCGGCTTTTTTTTATTTTCCTACACATTTTCATTGCTACTAAAGAATGTGACTTCTTAGGACAGCTCTGCATAGAGATAAAGGGTTGTTCTTCCTAGTGTTTGAGCAGATGCTACTTGGAGGAGTTCAGAAGTCTCAGAAATACTGATAACTTGCTTTGCCACAAAGTCTAACACTATAAACAAGATCATAGTCTTAGTTTGTGCAAAATAATTACATGCTTCTAGAGCATTATACACCACATTTATATTATAACTATTACTAATAATGTCTGCTATACTTTACCTGACATTATTGTGTATTAGTTCTCATTAATATTGTGTCCAGCAAAGAAAACGAGCCCTTAAATTTACACTTTCCTTCATCAGTAGTGTGTGGGGAAGTATTTTTTCTTTAATATTACTTTTGTTTATTGCATTAGCATTGTCAACAGCGTAATATACTTGTTAATGTTGTTGAAACATTGCTTTTTCTTTTAAGTGGTGTTATGTCATTGCTGAACAAGTCTTGTAGAACTGATTATTATTTTTTTCTACATTGAGCACACACCTGTTGACATTGTCACTGTGCCATAAAAATATTTTTCAGGGGTGTATCCTATCAATGTGGTTTCGGGTTTAGGTAGAAATCAGTAATGTGGTCACTGTTATTCAAGTGTTCCAACAAAAATATATGCATTATTATGTGTTTATGTACAGTCTTGATGGCCTTTAAAGGCAAGTGATTTAAGTGAAACCATGTTTCCTAATTGAATTTGCTAAAATAGTGTGTTGCTATGGAGAGAAACAGTGCCTTGTGTATATGGTCGTTTATGTTTCTAACTCAAAAGAGAAAGAAAGTGTAACCTTCTTGTTACTTTAATTAAACATTAATCAAACCAGTAGCATAATTGGTGTGAAAGAACTCATGGTTAGCTGATAGGATTTCATTTTTAAGAATATGGCCATTGCACTTTTCTGTTTCTATACATTTTTTAAAATGATTGCTTCTCCTTCAGCAGTATATAGTTTTTCAATTTATTCACTGTAACTTAACGTGGTGTACTAATTCCTTTTTTTTAGATTCATAACACATTAAGTTGTGCTGAACTTGGCTACGTAATGGCACTGTACATGGCCTCTACGATGTCTGCACTTGTCTTCTCTTTTCTTTGTTGATTTGGCTACTTTATTTTGTTAGCTAATGTGTATATAAATGCAGTTTCAAGTATTGTTAGTGGCACATTCATTTCTGACATTTGGGTGCATGCAGGTGTGCTGCATTAGTAGCACCCATGCACCCAACCTAAAGATATCTCTAGGTGAGCAAAAACAGCTAAACTTAATGCTATGCTAGGAGTTATGACAATTTCTGTCAAGTGTTTGCCAATTACATTAGCAGTCGAAAAGAAAAGTCGTGAGAAATTTTAAAAAAAGACAATGAGTCATTGAGAAGCAGCATAATGTAATATTTTAGTTATGGTTAAAATTAAAAGCAAAGAACGGAAGTTTGATTGGTCGTGTGATGATGTAAGAAGTAATTAGTAGCCTCTTAGAGCAACTGAATTAGTGCTAAGGTAGGGCTACGGGAAAATAATTGCGTTAAGAGGATAGAGCTATAATATCCTTTTAATGGTGAAGCTAACAAGTTTCAATGTAGAGTGGGTTTTGTTGACACTTGTCTGCTGTAATTAGAAGCCGCTGGGATGAGCAGAGTCTACTCAAGTCTAGTGCAGGGCATAAGAGGACTTGTCAGAGGGCTTCATGTTTCTGAAGTTTATTAGCAATCCCAATAAATTAGTCCTTCTCTGAAGGTGCCAAGTGCATATTTTCATAGCTTGTTATACCCAAGAAAACGGAGAATTTAATAGAGTACGTTGTTGGGCGAGTTGGTGCATTGTCTGAAAATAAAAGCAGAATGCAAAAAGATGGAACACAAAAGACAAGAAGAGCACGCATTCCTTCTTGTGTGCCATATTTTGCACTCTGATTTTATTTTCAAAGCTGGGAATGACCCGCGAATTGTTCCACATTGGGGGCCAGTGAGTTCATAGTGGCATCTGTCAGGGAATTCTATGCTTCGTTCATTCTGAGCTAGTGTTCATCCACGGTTCATAAGTGTGGTTGAAGCATATACCATCAATGCAAATATGGCTTAATAATCATACGAACTTGTTTTCCTAGTTAACTTTGTGTAGACCAAATGCTCTTTTGTAATCCAAATGGCAATTCTTCATCCACTTGCTAACAAACATGTTTTTCTGTGTACATTCACATTTCCCTCTGCTGATTTATTTTTCGTAAGTGTGATATCCAGAGTACCTTATGGTTTTCTTACCCAGAGGTAGGATTTCATGCCATACAATTAATCACCCAGTATTTTGCCATTGTATTCACCTTAGTAGCATTCTTATTGTTTTTGGCCTTGGTTGATGGGAGAAGGTATTTTTAGAAATGATACAAGTTTTATTGGGCATATGCACAATCTGCTCCTTTGTTTTATATGGTGAAGAACTCTTCCACCAAAAAAGACACTTATAATGTCTATTTGTCTAATTATGTTGGAATAGCTCTTAAGTCTTTGAATGGGCCAAGTGTTCGTGCTACATGTTTCATTTGTTAAGATTCGATAACTTAGCTTCAGACATAAACACTTTTCTTGCTCATCTTTCTTTTTTCTTCAATTTTTGGCAGCTGCTGAATTGTCAATTATTGTAAGGCCTAATTCTTTAAAGTGCAACAAACCATTAACAATTAAAAATATATGTTTTAATGTGATACTTTTGACCACAAGTAGTGTGTAGAGTATGAAGAAGGCCTCCATTAACCGGTGATAGAAATTTATTATTGGTTCTGTGGTATGATAAAGACTGCTGATTTATATTTCAGTTAGCTGAGTGCAGTGATTGCGTGCCACGCTGCGACTCTGCTAAAAGGTGAATGTACACCTCCACATTGGGAATTGTTTCTTTTTTCTTTACTATAAGCTTTCTGGTTGTATGTTTTTTTTTTTTTGAAACACGTAACATGTTTATTGCTTTCTCACCCATTTAGTGCCTAAGAGTGGTACCCTCGTGGTGTGGCCAAATGACCTGCAAACACAACACAATTTACTGACTTCACGTCATTAGTTTGTGATACCATATGACCACCTTTACCAGCTGCCATGTTGCAATAAGAAGCCTGCTCTGCTTTACAGGTTTATTTTGGATTAGTTACTTTAAAGAATGATACAACATAAGCTATCGAAGGCAAGCTCTGAAGGAAGCAGAAAAAGCTATAAAATTTGTGCCAACACTGCTTCATTTGGGACTATATTGATCAATATATGCCAAATGCCTGCAAGGTCTCACCAGATGCACTGTGCTGCTCACCATTATTTAGCCTGGCCAAGCAAAGAGTATAGAGCATATTTAATCTTACCATTAGGTATTGTACCATCATGCAAATTGGTACATTGAAAAAATTTTACCACCTGAGGTTTCAAAACCTCAAAAAATTTGCAAGGTAGATGAAACATGCATTTGTTTAAAAATTTGCAATTCATACTGCTTTTAGTATCTTCCCAGCTATTCTGCATTTACTTTGGATGAAAAGCAATCAGTGCCACCAGTCCTGTGTTTCGGAGTAGCAAGACATGTCTAAGAGCACAATATTGTTGATTGATTGGTTGGACATGTTCTCTTATTTAGGGCCTGGTTATGCTGCAAATCGGCTAATATTAAATAGTTGCTGCACAAATGGTGCAGAATTTTTGGCTTGTGGATATTGTTTGCTAGAACTGTGTTTTATTATAAACATCACAGCATTTGGTCTTGTGAACATTTCATGGTCCTGCATGTTGAATTAAGTGATTTTTCAGTTGCCAACATCATGCACCCAAAAATTTCAGTCCCATGTTTGGCAAAAGCAACCGTATTGCCATGTTGCAAGTGAACCCGGGTGTGGAAACGGTGCTCGTGTGTTGATGGTTCTGAACTATTTAGTGTGCAATCTTGTCTGCTGCATTGTGATAACAACAATAGTCAGTGTTTAAACTGTATATGATGTGTATTTTTAAATGTTGGACGTGATGAATACCATCTTTTAAATGCATATCTAGATTCTTGTTGCTGTTACGCATTACTTGACCCAAACTTCTTGTGTGTCGAGAAGAAAAGCAATCTTCATTTTCTTTTGTAGAATGCATGAACCTGATCACTAGATGTGGATGTTTCATGCATGCGTGCATACTATGGCATGTGTACATGAAACAGTTTCTCATTAGCAATGGGCTCATTTTGACTTTGCCATATTGCTTAATAATACATTGTTATGGTATGTATAAGACTGCTAAAACATCAGCCTAATGATGTTTTTTATTACTTTTGTAACTGCCAGTGCAGTGAATTGCACATTTATTTCCTTAGGTAATCATGGCAATTGTCTCATTGACATTATACCTGTGGACAACTGGTCTTTCGGTAATGTTTTTGTTGCAATACTAAGAACGTCAAGGTTACTGCAATAAAGGTTTGGGACTCGAGGTAACTTTTTCTTGCCATACATTTTTACAAGTGTGATGTGTAATGGCCTATATGATCTAGAGTCACTATGTGTTGGTATGATGACCAATGCATAGTAAAACCACAATAGGCCATGGAACAATGTTCAATATATCTGCACAATGGTCTACGTCATGTTCAACATATATTCGTACACATTGGAGAAAACACAACACAACTATTTAAATAAAAAAGATAGTGTATTTTGTATGTATGCATGTTAACATTTTTCAATGATTGCTACTACATATTATAGGCATATATACATTGCACCACAAGTGACATTGTTATCATTATTGGCAAATGCAGGGGATCTAGCAAGTCACTTGTGAAACTAGAATTTTATTTAATCCTTCAGGAACACAGCCATGTTGCATCTTCAAGAATGAAAACCTCACTACTGTCCTGTTTGAACCTTGCAGCAGCTTTTAACAGCATGCAGATAGTACTTGTGTGGTTGTCTTCTAAAATTACTGCACATTGTAGTAGCTTAGCAGGTTCAGTTGTGCATCTAAACTTGAGCACATGGATTGGATTCCTGGCTATGGTGGCTGTATTTTGATGAGGCAAAATTCAAGAGCACCTGTTTACTTAGATTTAGATGCACATTGGAGAACCCCAGTAGGTCAGAATTAATCTGGAGCCCCCTCTGTGGTGTGTGTGGCTCATAATCATATTGTGGTCTTATTTCCCTGGTTGGCTGTCCAATAGGCTACTCTTGGCTCCGGCTTCTCATAGAGTGGTGTTCAAAAATCACAATGTCGCTGTCAGCTGCCATCTCATAATAAGATCACATACTATGTGACGCCACAACAGGCAAAAAGTGTTCCATACTCGCCCCAATGGCAACGTGTGGGGCTGACTGAAACTCCCACATCTAAATGCACCTATAAAGAACATGTAGGAATGACTGCCGCTGCAGCTCAGTGGTAGAGCATTGGACATGTTATTCGAAGGTCACAGGTTTGGATCCTGCCGGTGCCAAGTCATCTTTGCATCCAGTTTTCTTTCTTCACATTCACATTACAATTACTTCTAATGACAGCCACTATACTTTCCCTGGCATTATTGTCTGTTAGTTCTCATTATTACTATGTCTAACAAAGAGAACAAGCCCTTAAAATTTACACTTTCCTTAATGTCGCTGTGTGTATTACACCACTGCCACAATGCACTGCTGTGTACAACACCTATTCACCAAGTGAAGTAGATTAAAGTAGTGGTTTTAATTTGGGTATGGAGTGGCATAACGAATTAGGCTGTGAAATTTGGATGGAGGGACAAGCGATTGAATGTTGCAAGAAAAAAACTACTTCTACAGCTCCTCTAGGGAGCATAGCTTGGGTGTGCGAAGAAAAAAGTCGCATGTCTTCTCCTCCATTGACCACGTGATGAATACTTTGCCAACTTGTGACAGCTGCTCAGAGCTTCATTCATAAAGCTGTGCTGGGCATCGAAAAAGGGAGCGGCGGCATGGCAAATATAGATTTGACAGAAAAGTGCACGACATTTTTCTTTGAGTTAAAGAATGGCACTATGCAACGCCTACTCACGCCTCTAAAGCCATCACGGCATTTGCCAATACCTCCTTTTTTAGCCACATGTGCTCACATCCTAGCAGGTCTTTTTTCATGTTTATTGTTTTCATTTATTGCATATTGCAAGTACTGCATATTTCAATTGCAGTACCTGGAGTACTACTGCATATTGCATTTTTTTAAAGTTACTTTTGGCATTAATTTGACAAAAATGATTTGCTGCATTCTGTTGTTTTTTTAATATGACCTGGCTCACTCTTTTTTTGCTCAACAATACAAAATAAGCATCTAGATTAGGCCTGTGTGGATTGCAAATTTTCCGTTTGAAGCGAATAGTGATTTGGTTCGCATAATCTCATATCAAATCGGAATAGTATATATCACATATTCTCACGTGCTTGCGGCAAGAAATATCATGGTAGTTGTGCATGTGCCATGAAGGACTATAAAATGGACGAAAAGAAGAACTCCCTTGCGCATTCTATTAAAGAGACCGACCTGCTTCTGGTATCTCCATCTCTGCTGCAAGACCTCTGTTTTGATGCCGTGGCAATATTATAAAGGAAAATTTGCATATTTGTCATGACCCAAAGACCTGTGCAATTTTTTAAAAATTAAAACAAAGCATGTGTGAATGTAATTTTTTTTTTGTTTCAAAGAAGGTGGAAGCAACTTTAAATAGTACATAGCAGGATTTCATGTTTGGTAGAATGCAAGAGATAAGTTGTAAAGTGTGTTACATTTTAAAATTTACTATACCGTAACTAGTGCATATAAACTGGCATAACAAGCTTTTCAATGTTAAAAAAAGGGAGAATCAATGTGAGGCTAGTATGTTCGTGGCAGTATGTTTGTGGCAGTGCGGATTTTGCCGTTTGCTGCTGTGAAACCACCTTTATGGACATACTATGCATCTATTGGTGCATTTGGATAACTTCAAGATTGCCAATAACTTAATATTCAAATCGAATTTGAATACATTAATATTTGTTCAAGTATTCAAAGTGTTCCAGACAAACCTCTGAACCAATCTAGATATAAGATTTCAATATGATGCAAAGCTGAATTGTCAGTTAAGAGGTGTGGCTGGTACTTTTAGACACCTTGGAAAAAAAGAAAGAGATAATTAGTTACCTACGAAACAAAGTCTGCTCTGAAGTTGGTCATCATGATAAAATTTTTGTGCACCAATTTCTGAAACAAAATGAAAGGGAAGATGGAGGGTCGTTCAGTCAGCCACTTCTCCTTGCCAAATGCCGGTGACGCTAGTGTTGCCGCTAGATTTAGGCTTTCATTAATTAATTGATTGATATGTGGGGTTTAACGTCCCAAAACCACCATATGATTATGAGAGACGCTTTCATTAATTAATGAATAATACCTAGAAATAGAATCATAATATCTCCTTCAACTGCGAATTACGACGGACTGTCTATAAATGTGCTGAATTTGCAGGACTTCTTCCAAGGCAATAAACATTCTTTTACAAGAAAACCAGGTTTTAGGGCATCGATTTGCACATTTTCAGTGACTATTTGTGGTTGATGCATCACATGTATTCTTGTATAAAAAGAACCAGCTCTCAGGCTCCAAGTATAGGCATAATTTTTTTATTAGTTGTATCGATATAGCACCAAGAAAAATTGTGTTTTTGGTGTCACTGCCAAAATATGGCATGTTGAACAGTTCATTCAAACATGGTAGTGTCTTGAGCAATGTGAAAGTTTGCAGCCATATACAGCACATTGAAGTTAAATGATTCTATGTTAATGATATGCAAGAGGTTCTGTTATTCAGAAATCAGTGTTTACATTTCTTGCTTTTTTCCTGGCTACCAGCTGACAAAACTGACAAAAACAAGTTGAATTCACAAAAATGTATTCAGCAGCCTTCAATGATTCATTAGAAATTCATACACCACAGAGTTTTACATAAACAGCAAAATGCCATTAATATGATTTTTATGGAAACCAGAAAATAAAACTTATTATGCAAAATTGTATCAACAAAAGCGGTTAAAAGAAGAAGAAAGATGTGCATACCACATCAGCAACTTGTTTTTATTGAGCGTCATTGAGGTAGCTGGTAAATTTGCACTGCACTTACTTCTTTTTAACGTCTAGGAGTAAATTCTTCAGCAATTTCAGCAGCATTGGCTTTCGTCGGAAAACGGATGCTGCTTCAGCCTCAGTGGCCCTGCAATAAGCACATTGTGGCTTGCTAGAACGTGGTTTGAACTAGTATACCAAAGAATAAACATAAGATTTCTGGATATATCAGTCATGATCCTCCTTTGCAGTCGTGTTATCCAATTTTCAGCAAAAAACACCAGACTCGCGCGGAAAGGGCAGCACAGTCACAGTAGAAGCTAGAAGAGTGGCGTTTGTAGAACCTGTTGTAAACTTTCTTGAGGCTATTAATACAAATTAATTGATTAACTCTTATGAAACTGACACAACCCACCATGGGGGATTGGCCATGAAACAGGTGGTGCCTTGTTATATAAATGAATATGTTCTCAATATGTAGCAATAGATAGTTTTTGAAATAAGTGATTAGCTTTAATAAGGAGAAAGAGGAGAAAATAAAAGAGGAGGCCAATTTTGTTGAAGAATAAGCTGAATTTAGATAACCTTAACATTAAATTCCTATTTTCTCACGTAGGAAATCGCATACAGCTTTGCAAATGTTCCTGCGGCTAAAACCCAGTACGGAAGTTCCAAAGTAAACAATCACCGGAAGTGATAAATTTAAGCCCAACCTTCGGAATGGTTCATAAAAAAGTCTTTTTCTTTGACTGGTAAATAATCTGCATGATAAGAACAAATCATGCAAGGATTCACTCTCACTTTAATGGAGATATTAAGATGAACACACCGGACCAGCCCAGTGTAGGTAAAAGTTCACTGGGAAGACTCGGCATCGTATTCTGGTGACTGACATTTCTGCCCTTCTAGAGCAGCACCATCGTCATTTCCAATTAATTGAGATTAGGAAACAGCGCTCTTTCTGTCCTTGTCTCTTCTTCTGTAGTTACGTCGTAACTACTCGTAGTCTTGTGCTGTGCAAATATATAAGAGGAAACTCAGATGCTGACTGAGTGAAGTTATCCGATGTGGCAGATTTTTCAAATCATGCCGCAGATACAGACGTCTGCAATAAAGATATTTTGGGACTATAGCGAGATGCTACTGCGAGGGCATCCGCATATTAATTGAGAGTTTTACCTTTGTGCCCTAGTACCCACATCAAGTAAATAATATGTATATGCCTTGGAATGAGATAGTAAAGTGCTTCTAAAGTATTTGAAAAATTTGGTGCAGCCAACGAAGAACAGACAGGGTGTTGGAATGATGGTTTCTGATATTGGTAGACGTAATTTGCATATAGCTAAAACAATGGCAAGTAACTCCTAGTGACAAATATGTGTAAAGTCAGGTAAACAAA